TGCCCTAATTTAACCATCATAAGCTGATAAATAAAAGGGAGAAAGACGTGGGGTTAAAAGACATACATCACACACACGCACACGCACACTTATTACAACATTGCCCTCGCGCAGAGGGTCCGAAAGAATAATACAATCCCGAATGAATAAATAATACAGTCCCGAATAAATAATTACAAAACCCTAATTAATTAACATATTCATCTAGGAAAGCAGAAAATTGGCACGCAAATCCATGGACCGCCTCAGCTCTGTTCCAAATGATGGATGATGCATGCTTGAGTTGCCTTGCGCGGAAATCTATTGCGATGCCCCGGTTTGCCTCTGTTTACAATTGTTCTTGGAATGCGTGCCAAACTCCGGAAGGCTGCTGATTCTTGATTTGCTGCAACAGAGAGCAACAAAGAGGCATGGTAAAATATTTTCACATATGTGTGTGCATGACTACTCTTCGGGGAGTGTAGTCCTCGATCCTCGTGCCACCAATCACGTATCTCGATGCATGATGGCCGAGGAGTCGAATTGCACGACTCAATATAAAATGAATGCACATGAAAACACAACAGGACCTAAACTCCCTCATGGGTGATCCGGAGTGTTGGCGACCGGGAATTGAGACACGTTCCGTCACTCGGAGTACGAAACGTCCCTCGTTTCCCGTGCTCGGGCTAACTCTTATCCCGAACACAATGTAATATGCATGACATGCATGAATGCAATCCTAACATGTGACCTAGCATGCACAATGCTATTAAATGGCATACACAATGCACGATGTAACGAGGCATACACAATGCTCTAACATACAACCTAGCATACGCAATGCTATGAAATGAAATGGCATACGCAATGCATAATGGACTTACACTAACATGAGTGGACCTCAGCCACACTCACATCAGTAGCCATTAGGTGAAAATGAGACTATCGAAATGCGTGCACACATGCATGCAAACCAAGGACCGATCCTAGGCATAACATGCAACTCTAACAAGGCATGGCAAGACATGGAATATGGCATACAAGAATGTAGATTCCAGCACTAAAATATGATGCAAAATGGTCTCGAATTATGGAAATATGGCACTCGATGCATGAGATGAACCCCGAAACTCGAAACTAGGCACATGGAATGGCTTGTAGCTATACAAAAGATGCATTATTTGATCATGAAGCATGAAGACAGAGCCAAGGCAGTCCCAAAACATGGACATTTTCAGTTCAAAGCATGGCCAAAAGATGCTAGCAAGATGGACTAAAATAGCATGCAATTTTGATTAGCAAACATAGTTTACATGGAAAGTATAGGATGCACATGGAATCTCACCAAACTAGCAAAAATCAGTAAATAAAACATGTGAAAATAGGCCCAAATAACCACTGATATGCAACCATGGCATGCAAAAATGATGAGTTACTTTAGAGGGCCATGCAAGGAGTCATTAAGCACATGCAAGATAGACATTTGGCATGGCACAAAAAACTATGAAAATCAAATATGGTAGTCCCAAAACGCACCAAATTGACCCTAGAAAGTGACTCCAAAGCATGCAAGATAGGGTCTCTTTGGAAGGCCAAAATGACCACCAAACAAGTCAAGGTGAGAGGGGGTCACCCCCCTCTGATTTGGAAGCTCAAAACAGTGTCTTAGCCACTGAAAATCCACTAGATTTCAGTGTCTAGAAGGCCAAAGAAATCATACAACAAGGGCTTAGGTGTAAGGCTCAAAATAGGAGACAATCAAGCATACAAGGAAGCATATGACCTCAAACAAAAATTGAACCTTAAACAAACTTGAAGATGAGATTAAAACAAGATATTTTTCAGTTTATGATAACTCTCAAAAACAAACACAAGTAGGGCTAATCTATCATGCAAAAATGGCCCTAAAAGAGATAATAGAGACAAGGGACATCAGATGGCCTCAAACAGTGAAGAACCCTTCAACAAAGTTCAAGAGGGGCTCAAAAAAAGGCACTTTATAGTTTATGTCAAGCTTCAAAAATAATCAGAAGTAGGCCTAAAATATCATGCAAGAAAATGGCCTAAAAGAGGGATAAAGAGACAAGTGATAGCTTCTGGCCTCAAACAGAGGATAACCCTTCAACAAAGTTTAAGAGGGGATTAAAAAAAGACATTTTACAGTTTATTACCAAGTCCAAAACATCTCACAAATAAGACTAAAATACCATGCAAAAATAGGCCTAAAAGAGAGATTAAACACAAAGGGTGAGGAGAAGACCTCAAACAGTACAAAGTCCTTGATTAAACATGAAGAGGAGCTCAAAATATGACCTTTTTCAGTTCACGACAAAGTCCAGAAATGCCTCCAAGCATAGCTTATAAATGAAACAAAAAAATGCAAGTTTGAGGGAAATAGACACTTACCCTTGAAGAGCAGCAAATCAGCAACTTTTGGACCAAAATTCTGGACTTTCAACCTCTTCAAATGTCCTCCAAGGTGCTGGAATGAGTGATGGAGGGGGTAGGCTAGGGGTTGTAGTACAAATGGTGCAAGAAAATGGGTGTTTGGAGCTTGAAAATGGAGAGTAATGGAGGATGAGGGTTATGAGCCTAAGCCAAAAGTGTCTAACCATTAACAATGGTGGTGGAGTGTGTATTATATAGAGGGAGAGAGGCTAAGAAAAGGGGGGGAAAAAACAAATTCAAAAATGGAGGCAAAACTTGTCTCTCTTGGAAAAAGGGAGATATATCATCATATATAGCAAAAGTAACACTAAAGGTCGAAAATATCTGAGCTAGGGACAACTGGAGGTTGTGGAAGTCAGCTGGAGGGAAGATATCTGTCAATTTTGGGTTTTCTGGGCATAAGTGGCCGGCCTACCACCTTTTATGGTCGGCCTGCTACTTTTCAGGACAAAAATGGATCTGCCGGAAAGAAAGGTGGCCGGCTAGTGATTGGGAAGTCCAATGGTGGCCATCCAAGTGTCCAAATTGAAGCCCCGGAAGTTATCTTTCCAATGGTACAAACCTTGCATTAAAATTCCTCCTGTGCAAAAAGTTATGCCTGTTTTGGTGAAGCCACGCAGATTCGGTCCAACCGGAGTGATGCCCTACTTCAATCAACCATATCTCCCTCGTCCGGAATTGGCTTTAGGAGATTCTTGAGTACAAAATGAAGCCCCGGAAGTCTTCTTTCCAACGGTGGTGGCCTCATAGCTTGATTCCAAGTATGCAAATGAATAGGCCCGATTCGGCGAGGGTTGCTCGACTCTTTCTTAACAGTTCATGCCCATTTCTTCCCTATTCTCTTCTTTTCTTCAACTTCAGACCCCTAAGTAAGGTGTTTTGAAAGATTTTTCAAAGATTTCATCTCTCTTTCATTCATTTTTGCTTTGTCCTGGCTTGGTTTACCAAAAAGCGCAACATTTAACAAAATGCGAGCGTTGAAACATCGTAGAAACTTTATTTCAAAAACGTTTTGAAAGAGAGGGTTTTAAGGTCTAAAATCTTTTGATCAAGATTTTTTTGGTCAAAAAAAGGGGTATGAAGTTGAGTTTTGACTCTCTCATTGACGAAGAAACTGAACCTTTCCCCTACACACCTTTCTCCACCATGTAAACCATCAGTCGCGTCCAAGTCTTAAGGGCGGTCAAAAATGGGGTGTCTACAATTATGTAACATTGTTAATAAATAAGATGTTTTTAACTAATGAGATAGTGGAAAATTTTATATGTAAGATATTATTAACTTATTTTTATTAGATAACTTTGGAATACAAAAGCTAACTTCACTAGTGTTTTTTCTTCTTATTTCAATTCTGGTTTTCTGTTGCTCCCTTACATTCCACACACCTAGTGTTCTCTTTAGTTTGTTTGTCTCTGAACTTTTGTTTGTCTCTACTTCTACCAAATCTTTCATTTTTATTGATGTAATGTTTAATCATATCAATAAAAAAAAAACTTATTTTGCCATTAAAAAAAAAAAGCCTCACTAGTGTGTTTTTTGTTCTTCACTTGTGGGAAAAACCACATAGGTAATGTAACATTCGATAGACCCAAAATATCATGTAATACTGTTTGAAATATAACATGACATTGTCTGGTAAATAAGAAATCGTAAAACAATTATTATGGTTACATGTATATTATTATATTATTATTAATTAATAATTTTATTTATTTATTTATAATAAAAAATTTTGAGGTAATAACCTGTAGATACATTCTTTTAGGATTAAATGACAAAATAATTTAAAAGATCATATTATTCACTATTCACCTATTTGTCCTTGTCACCTATTTGTTTACGTTATCTATTTGTCCACTTGTCATTCTTTATTTGTCAATGTATTACCTATGTCTATATCACCACCACCATCAGTCGCCGTCGACGACCGCCATCGACCACCTCCTCCAATGACTTTTCTAGTCATTGTTTTGTTGAATTTTTCAATGATCGACTGACAACGGTTTGGTGGCGGTGCGGTAAAAATAGAGACTAAATTTCTTCAAGACAACAATTTGTCCTTTTCACAAAATAATTTCATTAATCACATAATTATCACCAAAAATAAAAAAAATCAGTCATTAAACCTAATGTCATATCCACCTATATAGAAATGGATTCATAACCAATAAACACCATAAATAAGAATAAAAAGCAATCCTTAGACCTCATGCCATATCCACCATATATAGAAATGGGTTTATTATCAATAAATTGCATAAATAAGAAGAGTTACAACCTCTAACCTCTTCCAAAATATGAAACATAATGACATCATAGTTTGGAGATGTTTGAGAAAATGGTTGGGCTAAAATAACTCATTAAAAGACAAAACATGTGAAAATAGTTAATAAGACAAAATGTTACATTCAACTCGTAATTTTTATTTTTTCTCTCACAATCATCAAATTAACTATAAAAAAAACTAACTAACTTCTCAAACATAACTATTTTAGCCAGGCTAAAATAAATAAAAAGTCAAATAATAAACTAAAATAACAAACTTCCCAACCAAAGGCTTTATGTATAAATAGCTTCCCTGCGGAGCTACAATTCAATAGCATATGCCTCTGCAACCAAAATAGCAAAAGAAGGAGAAGAAGAGTGGAAATGGGGAGTGAAAAGAGTGAGTTGTACTTTGTTTTCATGACTTACGATCCTGAGTATAACCGTCTTAGATCTAACAGGTCAGAGTTTCTCAATCATTATAACTTCATCATCCTCTCTATGTTATTGAATTTTCAATTAATATATTCCTTTTTTGCCGATAAAAAAAATGGTATTGTTCTTCATCTTGACAATGGTGTCTATGATCTAAGAACAGAACAAAGAGAGGGTCGACCGAGCTTGATTTGTATTTAAGTAGGAAGCACGATGCGTTGTTGGCGACAACACTCCTGCCTGGCAGCTACAAGAAGACATCATCTTTGGTAATTGTGGATGGCTTTTCTGTGGAAATCACTGATGATCAGGTCAACTAACTAGCTAGCTTTCTACAATTTTTTAGTGTTTACTTCTTCTATATATGCACTTATTTAAGAAGTATAGTTAATGAGAGTTAGTGTTGTTTCATGTGTTTTGTCTCTCTGTATGTACTACCATCAGGCCAATGTGCTTAGATCTGCAAAGGGAGTGAGAGTTGTGGAGAAGAATCAAGTGCTTTCCTAGTGTACTATGTTTGGAGAGAAGAATCAAGAGCTTCGCTTCATTGATGTTTCAATGTTTCTGTGAATATTGTTTGTGTACATTGGTTAGGCTCGGATTTTTCTTTATCTCTCATTGTTATATGAGTAATGCCATAATAATAACATTTTTATATTGTAGTCGATTTATTATATCATTTGCTATACGTATATTGATCGAATGAATCTTTATATCAACAATGATTCATCCCCCTGTTTCCCCACTCCCTTTGACCCCCTCTCTCTCTTATTGGTTACTTTTTTTTTTCTTTTTCTTTTTTTTCCTGCTCCTCCAATCACCACCCGCCACGTGGCAAAGGGAGGTGAGGGGTGACCCCCAAAAGGGGGTCCCAAGCATTATTCTCTTTATATTTAGGGTAAATGTACTTTACACGATGTGTCAATTTGGTGCTTATAGTTTTAATTTGTTCGATTTTGTCTTTTAATTTAACGGATTGTGTCATTTTAGTCTAGCCAAATGTGTACACTTTCGGCGACCAAACAAATTTTAGTCGCCAATACTATCGCCGACAGGGTAAAGGCGACGAACTTAGCGACAAAAAATTTTGGTCGCTAAACACCTTCGGCGACTAAATAAGTGACTTTTGGCGACCAATATTTTGGTAGCCAAAAGTGACATTTCTTGTAGTGAAATAACGGTGGTTAAATTAATTTAACGGAAGGTCAAATAATGTATCAATTTGGTCTCTGTACTTTACACGATGTGTCAATTTAATCCCTGTAGTTTAATTTTCTTGATTTTGACAGGGACTAAATTGAAACATTATGAAAAATATAGGGACCAAATTAACACATTATTTGACTTTTCGTTAAATTAACTTAACAACCGTTATTTATTAGACTAAAATGACACAATCCATTAAATTAAAAGACAAAATCGAGTAAATTAAAACTATAGAGACCAAATTGATATATCATGTAAAATTCAAAGACTATTTAAATAATTTTTCCTTGTATTTATGTTTATTCTTAATAAAGCATAATATATAAACATGAAAATTATAGTATTAATCTGCTCTGTTGATATTATTTTAATGCAAAATTTATTTGAATTTATAATTTTTTGAAAAAAATTATAATTTAATTTGACAAAAATAAGCATTAAAGATTTTTTGTTTTTAAAATTTTCAAAATGAATTTCTCTCTCGTCGTCATGTGTGTGGTCGGCTATTCTCCATTGGGCCAATTATTATTATTATTATTAATTTTTTTTTTAAGAGGTTGGTGAGTTGACTAAAAAAGTTTTGATAGGTCATCATTGGAAGTGTCTTGTGCCATTATCCAATATTGGTATCATCAACCACATTGAGCGTACCAAAATCATCTGTGGGTTGGTTTGGAATGTCGTTTGATTTTTTTTGGCGTTTTGATTTTTTGATTATTTTAATTTAGGATTAAAAAATTTTATTTGAGATAATTTTTTTGATTTTTTTAATTTTTGTAACAAAAAATAAAATAATTATAAGTTGAATGTGATATTTTGTCTTATTAAGCTAAAAAATTTATTTATTTTTTGTAACTAAAATAATCAAAAAATCAAAAAACTTGACAAGCTAAACAAAGGCTTAATGAGACGAGTCTTTTTACTTATATTTGATCAATGTTTTCTTTTTCCACAGACCATTATTAATTTTCAAAAAAATTACAATCCAATGAGTATTTTTAAAACAAATTTCAAATTAGTAATAAAATTTATCAATTTTAATAATTAAAATTATAACTTTTTTCATAATTTTATTATTTGTTTTTTGGTACCACTGACTCACAATTTTCCCTTGACTTTTTTTTATATACCCTTTCCACCGCACACAGCCATCAAATAGAAAATGCAATGCGTAGATTAGGTAGAATCATTTTAAATGAACCCAAATTATGCTTCCGTTTGGGAAGTGGGTTGACTTTTTGACTTTTTTGACTATTTGAGCGTGGGCTCAAAAGCTTGGTTTTGAAATAATTTTTTGACTTTTTGATTTTTTTGACTTTTTGATTTTTTTGACTTTTTTTGTGACAGAAGAGTGTAATGATTATGGGTTGGAGGTGATGTTTTGTCTGTTGTGGCTCAAATAACCTATTCTGTCTTTTGTGGCTCAAAGAGTCAAAAAAATCCAAATGAGTCATTCCCAAACGACACCATATCAAATTCAACTCTATACTACATATTGCATTTTTTAAACCTGTTTAATAAATTTTATATTTATAATTTTACAATTTGTTAAAATTATAAACAAAAATTTGTTTGATGTGGGTTTTAATTCAAAATAATTGTAAACAATTTAAAAATAGAACCTCACCATTGAAATTTAGGTCCTTGTGTGATCCAGAGCATGTCCTAACCGTTTACAACCCATGGCCCCCACCCACACAAACAAACAAGATGGTGAGATAATGGACACTCTCAAAGATTCCTCCTTTGATTTAATGTCCAACTATAGTGGTAACCAGTGACGTGACTCTATAAATTTAAAAAAATATATATTACAATTATCTTGAAATAATTTAATATTTTGTTTTATAATATACATGAAATTTATAAGTTAATTTTTATATTTATAAAGTTAACTTTTATATTTATAACTTTTTAAATTATTAGTTTAAAAAAATTAAAAAATATATATATAAATCTATTTAGTGCAAATTTGATAATTTGTATTAAAATAAATTTAAACCTGATTAAATGAGATTAAATGAGTTATAACATACCTCTTCTTGTTATAAAAATATAAAAAAAATTAAAAGTTATAATTAAGACAAATATAAAATTTTATTATTAAATGTAAAGTGAAATGATATTTAACAATAATTAATATGATATTTCTATTATTAATCTAATAATTTAACTTACATTTCTTTTGAAATTTTATAACTAAAAATACAATATGAATATAATGCACATACCAATTTCTAGTCTTTAAGAATAAGAAGGTTTGATAATATTTTCAAACTTTCATCATTTTCTTTTAATTTTTTTTTAAGGTAGTCTAAGGTCCCTCTTCCATTTTTTGTGGTAGAAGAGATCCACAATATTATTTTGTGATGTCTAAGGTCCCTTAATCCAACATCCATATATCACAGAGAAAATTCCCTTAACCCTACACATATCCATCACACCATTCGTCGACTTCTTGTACGTCATTTCATCAATTTATATCACCAATCAAGGCACTCACTAGGTTCACCTCTCTATTCTCTCTCTCTCTCTCTCATCCTCGATCATCATCGACTGTAATTTGCAGACGAACGCTCTTAACCACACATCTACTTGGTTACTTGTATGTAAAAAGCATCAAAATGTAAGCTCTCATTTCTCAATATTATTATTCTGGACTACATACCTGATATATAGATATATATATATATACATACGTATTGCGTAACAACACTATGTTTTGATATATAAAAATGCAGAGAGCTGTGAAGAGATTGGAAAGTAGCGATTGAGATCGTCGGAGCAGAAATGGCGCAGAAGGCCAAAGAAATTTGATGGATGGTGGATATGTAATTCAAGTCATTGTTGCCAATGGAAAATCTCTCTTGTTGTTACTATATTGAATAGGAGTAAAATAAGGGTGTAAAGATGTTAAAACTTGTACGCATTTTATATGGCAAAGATGTCAAATTTCTCTGCATTTTCTCTTATTGTGATAATTGTTTGTGAATTTTCTCTGTCTGGAGAGAATTTCTCTAGTTTGAACTCAGAGAAATTTCAATTTTCTATGGTTTGAACTTAGAGAAATTCTCTGTTCGAATTTCTCTGATAGGTCTTTCGTTGTTGAAATTTCTCTAGAGAGAAACAGAGAATTTCTCTAGGTTTGAAATCTACTTTTCAAATCCAAATTGATTGTTCTTATTACATTTATGGTTCTGACTTTGAATTTTCTCTGCATAAGCGGTTTTTTCAACAAAATTGAAATTTTTCTCTCTGGAGCCAATGTGTGAACCATGGAATACATTTTGCCTGAGGTTTATGATTTTCAACCAAAAAAGATTGTGAAGGGGAATTTCTCTGGGTTGGAAAGGGAGATTTTCTCTGGTTTGAGTGATTTTCTTTGGGGTGGATGTGAGATTTTCTCTGATTTTGAAGAATTTCTTTGTGTTGATGTGAATTTCTCTAGAAAGTCCGGAGAAATTCTTCGTGAGATTTTCTCTGTGAATTTTGTTCAAGTTGGAGTTTCAAAAATTAACAATTTTGTTCAAGTTTGGAGACGATAAGAGTAGTGAATGTTTACTCAAAGATTCTGGAGGTTTATGCAGATTATATGTGAATTTTCTATGGATTTAGTCACTGTGAATTTTCTCTAGATTTGGTTATTGTGTGAATTTTCTTTGGATTTAGTCACTGTGTGAATTTTTTCTTGAAAACTCGGGATGTGTTGGTTTTTTTTTATTATATTTGGTTGCTTCAGTTTTTCTATTAATTTGTTTACTTGCTTAGATATTGGAAGGGGAAAAAAATGAAAAATGTGATTTTAAATGGATTTTCTCTAGTTTGATAATGATTAGATATATATTGATCTTGAGGTTCCTTTTTGATCAATTTTCTCTAGTTGAGTCAAAACACAAATTTTTCTAGAGAGAAAATCTATAGGAGGTCCAGAGAAATTCTCTAGGAAGTGCAGAGAAAATCTCTTGGAAGTCCAGAGAAAATCTCTAGGAAATGCTAGAGAAATTAATTTCTCTAGAGAGAAAATCTTGGGAAAGTCTAGAGAAATTTCCAGAATTTCTCTGAGAAGTTCAGAGAAATTCTCTGTGTCGAATTTTCTCTGGATTGATGTTGAGGGACCTTAGACATTATGAAAATATTGGGTGTCCTTTATGCTATAAAATCTTAATACCAATGACCTTAAAAAAATATCCCCCCCTTTTTTTTTTTTAATCTAATTTGATTAATATTGAATAAAAATTTTAATTTGATATGAATTACTTTAACTTTTTCATTAAATGTTTATCAATTTTTAAAAGAACTTTCATTCTTATCCTATTTTTTTTTTCTTTTCACCAATTTTGATGGAAAAAATAATAATTTTCAACGTTTCATCTTTTTAAAATTTTATCAAATTATAATATTAAGGATTGAAAATTGTCTTCATTGGAATTATAGTGAAATAACATCTTAAAATAATCAAAGTTTTAGT